GCCCACCTAACTGCTTCCGCTGCTACTCTGTGTGCTGCATGCCCCGTGGCGTGCGACGGAATTTTTCTTCCCGTCGGCCGCCCTCTTGCCGAGCACTCCTAGAGGCCCCTCTCACGGCCCCTCGCGCGACCCTTAGCGGCCCCGTCGCCACCCCTCGCGGCCCCGACGCAGCCCTTCTCGACCCCTCGCGGCCCCTTCGCGGCCCCGTTGCCGCCCTTCCAGGCCCCTCGCGGCCCCTTCGCAGCCCCGTCGCCGCCCCTAATGGCCCCGTCGCCGACCTTTCAGGCCCCTCGCAGCCCCTTCGCGGCCCCGTCGCCGCCCCTAGCGGCCCGTCGCCGCCCTTCCAGGCCCCTCGCGGCCCCTTCGCGGCCCCGTCGCCGCCCCTATTGGCCCCGTCGCCGCCTCCAGCGGCCTCGTCGCCGCCCCTTGTGGCCCCGTCGCCGCCCCTTTCGGCCCTGCCTCGACCCTGCCCCGGCCCCGCCCCGGCCATGCTCCGTCGCCTGTCGCGGCGCACCGGGGGCACGTGCCCCGCCCCCCCCTCTTTTCCCGTCGCCTGTCGAGGCGACCTGAGGGGGCCGCATGGGGGGGGGGGGGGGCGAGCGTCGCCCCTTCTACCGCCTGTTTTGGCGCCCTGGGAGGCCGCGCGTCAGCCCCCCCCCCCCCCCCCCCCCCCCCCCTCGGGACCTGTGTGAAGGGGGTGTGTGCAGCAGCAGGGGGTGTGTGAAAGGGGGGTGCTGTGGGAGTAGAACTAGGGTTTGAGCAGGGGGTGTGTGTCGAGGGGTGTGGGGCAGCTGGAGGAGGTTGTGTGAAGGTAGCTGTCGTGTCGCCTGCAGCGCCTGTAGTCCGTCGCCCTTGCTTCGGTAGCCAGTGAGCCTGTTGCACCAGTCGCCAGTGGGTCCGTTGCTCCTGCTGCTCGTCTATAGCCGCGGAGCCAGTTACTCCACTAGTCCGTCGCCCTTGCTTCGGTAGCCACTGAGTCAGCCGCTCTTGTGCCCGTGCCTCTGCAGCTTCAGTCGTTGCCTCCCATCTTCTCTCCCTCCACAGTTCCTCCTCCTCCTCACACTCACTTATAGGATCGTAGGGTATGTCGAATAGATCATCCCCCGGTCCTGCGCTCAAAGCTGCTGACTCCATATCTAATTTCAACTGAGCAGTGTTAGAAGGATTTATCCGAGGCCAATTCAGCTTCGTCTAGACCTGGAACCTTCCCATAAGCCTTTGCAGCTGTGAAGGCTTCACCTGTGGGCTATGGAGAGCCTTAACACTGTGTTGCGGGGAGATAATATTAACTCCTTGGAACGCTCGACCCTTTTCAACGCTCCGGAGTGGTTTGCCCAACTTCTCAGGTACCTGAATAATGTCTAAAGGCTTTTTCTTGGCCTTGAAATCTCCCCTGAATTATTTAAAGGCTTGAAAACCTCGAGAGGGAATATTCTTACTCTCGGGGGTGTTCGGCTGGAGTTTCCCGGTCGCTGCAGAGACTTGTTTCGCGGAGCCACCATTTGCCTCGGCGATTTCCCCTGCTGCCGGCCGGTCGTGGCGTTTTAAATTCGCGCCATCGTGTCCTCCTTTTTTCGCCATCATGGATGTCGCACTGTTGTTGCCCTGCAGCTCCGCTCGTGCCTTCTTCATTTTCCAACACGCCAAGAATCGATGTCCCGCTGCGCCGCAGAATTTGCCCTTCTCATATTTTGTCGGCCGCTGCTTCGCGTCGATCTTGTCGATATCCATCGGGTCGGTGGTCGTGGGTGGTGCCAATCGCTCCATGCCGAATGATCTGTTTGGCACACGTCGTCGTGTTTCGGGTTGATCTCCCATCAGCGCATCGAATCTCTCTACTGTGTCAGAATGAACAAGAGTGATTGAACTAGGAAAGAGTTGGGTACAAGTAGGAAACCCTAAACTTACTGTACCCCATAGTAACTACCCCACTACAGCCTAAACAAAGTGTAGCAGATATAACATTTGACACACCCCCATAGGCAACGTGGGGGAGAGCAAGGGGTCACAAGACCAGTCAAGAAAGGCAAAGCAAGCTCAGGGTGGATCACAACGTCACCACACACTCCGAGCCCAAGCAAAGGGCCACAAGGCCAGTTCACATGCAGAGGCATATATGTGCAACACGAACAGCACAACGATCTCTACCTAGCAAAGCAAGCATGCAGGTATATATATAGATCACAGTACAAGCAAAGCCTACAGCAAGTGAGGAAAAGTGGGCACAAGCCCTAGCATAGTGCAGAAACGCTGATGATCACCAGACTGAAGTGCCTTGGTGAATATATCAGCAGTGTTGGCTCGAGTGGCCACGTAACGCAGACGAAGCTGACCACACAGCTGCAACTCTCGAGCCAGGAAGTAACGCAGAGCGATGTGCTTCGTTCTGTGCTCCAGTCTGTGCTCCTCAAACAAGGCAATGGTAGCCTTGTCCTCAACGTACAGCACTGGAGGAGAACGAGGCCGCTCTCCCAAGTCAGTCACCAGGTAGGTGAGCCAGCGTAACTCCTGTGCAGCCATGGCTGTGGCGTGGATCTCAGCCTCACAACTGGAGCTGAGAACTGAAGACGAGCGGGTAGAACGCCAAGAAACTGAACCAGAACCAAGGCTGAAGGTGTAACCCTGTGACGACCGATGAGTAGCCTGGTCGTCAACCCAAGAAGCGTCTGAGTGCCCAGTGAGAACAACTGAGCTCCTCCCTCCAAGCACGAGCCCCATGCCTAATGTACTGCACAAGTAGCGCAGTACCCTCTTAGCAGCATCCATGTGCATCTTTCGGTGCCGACCAGGAGCCACGTAGCGAGCCAGAAGGCCAAGAGGGTACGCGAGGTCAGGACGAGTGCAAGTCATCAGGTACATGAGGCAGCCAACTAGCTCGGGGTAAGGACCACTCGGCTCTACGGACTCGTCCAAAGGTGGAGCTGAGAGCGACTGACCTGTAGCCAGAGGAGTGGCCTGTGCTGAGGACCAGGTGAAGCCAAAGCGCTAAAGGACCTGCTGCACCATGTGTGACTGAGTCAGTGTGATGGTGCGGCGTACTCTGTCCCGGGTGATCTGCAAGCCAAGGTAGCTGCGCAGTTCACCCAGGTTTGTGCACCTGTGTCTCTTCTGCAGCTCCGACTTCACCAGGGCGAGAGCCTCAGTGTCAGCAGTGGCAAAGACCAAGTCGTCGACGTACACGAGGATGTAGAACGGCGGCAGCGAAGTGTTGGTGCGCAGAAACAGCGACGGGTCAGCAGTAGAAGGCGCGAACCCAAGAGCCGCAAGTGTAGTCCTCAGTGTGTCGTGCCACTCACGTGGCGCCTGGCGGAGACCGTAGACCGGCCGCCGGAGGCTCCACTAGGTACCAGGAGGGAACGACCCAGTGAAGCCTTTCTTTCACTGCAAGAAAGCTGTGCTGAAGTCAAAAGAGTGAAGCTCGTAGTCACGCTGAGTGGCAACATGCAGTAGCACCCGAAGAGTGGTCATCTTCGGGGTGGGGGAGAAGGTCTAGAAGAAGTCTACTCCCTCTCGCTGACTGAAGCCTCGAGCAACATAACGAGCCTTGAAGACAGGCGGAGAACTTGGCGGCCGCTTCACCCTGAAAATCCACATGCCACTGACGATGTTCGCCCCAGGAGGGGGAACCTCGTCGACGTAAGTGCCAGTGGACTTCTAGGATGCCATCTCTGCGTCCATGGCTGACTGCCACTGAGAGGAGTACTCACTCGCGATCGCCTCAGCGTAAGAGCGCGGGGTCGGGATGTCTGGTGCATCCGGGTCTCCCTCAGGTGCAATCGGCATGGACACGAGATGAGGTACAGCAGTGGCAAAGCACTCAAACTCCTCCTGCCTGTCCTCAAGGACGTCCGTGCGAAGAGCACACTCACCCCCGACGGACGGAGGACAGACAGACTCAGACTCAGCAACAAGACTGGCAGCGTAGTTTAGACGACAGTGAGCAGCAAAGTTGACAAGCTCAGCAACTAAGGCAGACGCAGCAGCTGACTCAAAGAAAGTGTCAGTGACAGCAGTGGCCAGGAGACGCGTGACAGTAGGACTAGCAGTACGAAGAGAGTCAAACTCCGGGTCAGCAAGGGCAGGAAGAGAGGACACAGGAGGAGAAGGCAGAGGGACACGCTGTGGAGCGGTGGAAGGACGAAGCGTCATCTGGTGAGTGCCTGGGACAGCAGGAGGACGCTGGTGTGGGACACGACGACCAGTGCGAGCAGCACAAACAGATGACGCAGAACGAGACTCAGGCGACACAGGACAAGACGCAGGCTCACGACGCTCCGTAAGACCTCCAGCCGGACAAGTGTAGGGAGAAGGACCAGGATGTGGCGAGGCAGGCTGTAACTGTGACTGCGACTGGACAGGCGGAGGACACTCTAAGGAGGGAGCAGGACAAGGAGGCGGCTGACCAAGAACCTGCTGAAGGAGCGGAATGAAGTACGGCCGCGGCCGTGGAGTGCCCCCAGAACAAGCAGAGACAGCACCAGAACCCCCAGCAAAAGCTCCAACTCCTGCAGCACCACCAGCGGCTCCACTAGTGCCAACTCCAGTACCGTCAGTAGCACCAGCTCCAGCCGCACCGTCGGCTCCAGCACCTGCAAGAGGACGAGCGTCAGCACCTCCAGCTCTAGCCCCTGCAGCACCACCAGGCTCAGCACACTCAAGCTCAGCACGCTCAGCACCTCGCGCAGGGCCAGAGTCGACAGCTACCTCGACAAGCTCGACCGGGTCTACTTGGGAAACACCTGAGGGAGCAGGACCCTGGGGAGGCGGGCGGTCTACCGAAGCAGCACCTGGCGTGAGGAAGAGCGGTGGAGGGGGGAGCGGGGCAGTGCGGTAGGGGAAGAGATGGTAAAAGGGGACTGACTCGTCAAACGTGACGTCTTGAGAGGGGAAGACACGGCGCTGTCAGGCATATATGCTATAGTCTGTGTAGGCTGTAGTGGGGCAGTTCATATGGGGTACAACACTTTAGGGTTTACTACTTGTACTCCTCATTCTGCTCAATGCATTCATTCCTCGTTTCTTATCATGGTATCGAGCAGGTTCCCTAGTGGGAACGCTACCTAGGGCCCACAACGATTTTTTTTCCTGCCCGGAGCGCGCTTCACTCCTGCCCGAGTAGCGGTCTGTGTGCCCTCCCTACCTTCGCGCCGCCCTTAGTGGCCCCTCTTACGCCGCCCTTACGGCCCCTAGCGCCGCCCTCTAAGGCCCCTCGCGCCGCCCTTACAGCCCCTTACGGCCCCTCGCGCTGCCCTTACGGCCCCTTACGGCCCCTCGCGCCGCCCTTACGGCCCTCGCGCGGCCCCCTTTCGGCCCCTCGCGGCGCCCTTTCCGGCCCCTTACGGCCCCGTCGCCGCCCCGTTTCGGCCCCTTGCGGCCCCTCTTCGGCCCCGTCTAGGCCCCTCTGCGGCCCCTCTGAGACCCCGTCGCCGCCACCTACGGCCCCGTCGCCGCCACCTGCGGCCCCGTCGCCGTCACCTGCGGCCCCGTCGCCGCCACCTGCGGCCCCGTCGCCGCCACCTGCGGCCCCGTCGCCGTCACCTGCGGCCCCGTCGCCGCCACCTGCGGCCCCGTCGCCGCCACCTGCGGCCCCGTCGCCGCCCCCTGCGGCCCCGTCGCCGCCACCTACGGCCACGCAGCCGCCACCTGCGGCCCCGCCGCCACCTTCGGCCCCATCGCCGCCACCTGCGGCCCCGTCGCCGTCACCTGCGGCCCCGTCGCCCTCCCCTAGCGGCCCTGTCGCCGCTCAGCCGCCCAGCGACCGAGCCGCCGAGCAACCCAGCAGCCGAGCCGCCCACCTGCCGAACAGCCGAGCCGCCCAGCAGCCGAGCCGCCGAGCAGCCGAGCCGCCGAGCAGCCGAGCCGCCCAGCAGCCAAGCCGCCCAGCAGCCGAGCCGCCCAGCCGCCGAGCCGCCCAGCAGCCGAGCCGCCCAGCCGCCGAGCCGCCCAGCAGCCGAGCCGCCCTGCCGCCGAGCCGCAGAGCCGTCGAGCCGCCCTACTGTCGAGCCGTTGCTCTTCCCACCGGTGCGCCCCGGCCCTCCTTCCTCGGACTGGTGAGCTCACTCCCTCCTAGGCCACTGCAGTCATGGCTACCCCCAGTGTCCTTACTTTTGATGCTGAGGGCCGTGCCGTTGACTTTGAGGTCTGGGTCGATGACCTCCAGCTGTTTCTCCAGTGCGATAGGGCAGACGGACTCTCTCTATTCGATCTCACCTCTGGTGCCTCTCCTGCCCCGCCTGCTACTACTAACAGCACTGTTCGCTCACAGTGGGCCACACGCGATGCTGCTGCTCGCCTTGCTGTGCGTCGCCACTTACCGACCACTGAGCGTGCACACTTTAGCCAGTACAAGAGTGCTCAGACCTTGTACGAGGCTGTAGTTGCACGCTACTCTTCCCCTGCCACTGCTTCACTGAGCCGCCTGATGCTACCGTACCTCTTCCCTGACCTTGCTGCCTTCCCCACAGTCGCTGACCTCATTACGCACCTCCGCACTAGTGACATTCGCTACCGCGCTGCGCTTCCTGCTGAATTCTGCGCCAAGAACCCCCCCCCCCCATGTACATCACCCTCTACTACATAGTCACCCGGCTCCCTGACTCTCTCCGTGTAGTCAGGGACCACTTCCTCTCAATTTGCCCCACCAAACTCACCGTTGACCTCCTCGAGAAGAGCCTCCTAGCAGCAGAGAAGAGCATAGTCGATGTAGGAGCCTCTCGTGGTGACCCTCGCACCCCCGTCTTTGAGGGGTGTTCCCCCTCCCCCCTCTTGCCCTCTGTTGCCTCTGCTGCTGCGGCCGACCTCGTTGGTTTCGAGTCGGTCGGCGCTGCGTCTGCCCCTAGCGGGAGACGCCACACCGGCAAGGGCAAGGGGGGCAAGGGCGCTGGAGGGGCTGGCGGGGGCGGTGGAGGTGGTGGTGGAGGTAGTGGAGGGGGTGGGGGTGGTGGTGGGAGTGGTGGCGGGGGTGGAGGTGTCGGTGGCAGCAGTGGAGGCGGAGGAGGCGGCGACGGTGGCGGAGGGAGCGGAGGCGGCGGAGGTGGTGGAGGCGGCGGAGGCGGCGGAGGTGGCGGAGGCGGCGGCGGCAGCAGTGGACCTGGTCGCAGCTCTGTGCAGAGGAGTGGCTTCGGTGGTGGTACGCGCCAGCAGCAGCAGCGCAGTCGTGAGACCCTGTCCCCTCAGCAGCTTCGTGAGTGGTACGTTGCGCGTCAGCGCGGTGGGGGTACGGGTCCCTGCACCTACGTTCTCCGCACCGGCGATCGCGCTGGTGAGTAGTGCGGGGGCCCGCACTCCACCCAGCGCTGCTTCGGCCGCCTTACGTACGCGTGGCGTCACCAGTTCCCTGAGGCCTCTGAGATCCCTCGCTGGGGAGAGCTGTCTAGGGCGGGGGCTGCTATCTTTGATCTTGATTTTGATGCTATTCTTGCTGCCATGTTTGCTGTTGCTGATAGTGTTGAGGGTGACTGTTACCTGTGTGTTCCGCCTGACCCGGGCATTGAGGCTGCTGCTCTAGGTGCTGGTGAGGCTGCTGCTCTAGGTGCTAGCGCGTCTGCTGCCCCAGGTACAGGTGAGTCTGCCCTCTCAGGTACCACGTCGGCTCAGGCCTTACACACCTTCACCCTTGACTCGGGTGCTTCCCGCTCCTTCTTTCGAGACCGCACCACACTTACGCCGCTTTGTCGGCCGGTTGCGGTCTCCCTGGCGGACCCCTCTGGGGGTCCTGTCCTTGCTCGCTTCTCCACTGACTTACCGTGTCCGGCAGCCCCCTATGGCACCTTGTGAGGTCTCTACCTCCCCTCGTTCTCTACGAACTTGGTGAGTGGAGCTGATCTACAGGATAGGGGGGTTGACCAGTTCACTCCTGCGAGTCAGCGGGTGACCCACTGTACGTGTGCTCGGACAGGCCGACACTTGGCCACGTTCACCCGTCGGCCGGGGTCGAGCCTGTACACCCTCACTACTGAGTCTCCTCCGGCTGCTGAGCCTGGTCAGGTCGCTGCGTCGAGTCAAGTGTTTGCAGCAGCGTCCAGGTCTAGTCCTGAGTCTGCTCCCTGCTCGTGTCATCTCCTGTCTCACCAGACTCTCCTTTGGCACCACCGCCTTGGTCACCCCTCTCTGCCTCGTCTCCGAGGCATGGCCTCCCGTGTCCTTGTCTCTGGTCTCCCCCGGTCTCTCCCTCCCCTACCTCCGGGGCCTGCCCCTACCTGCGTCCCCTGCGTCGAGGGGCGACAGCGCGCCGCCCCTCACTCCTCCGAGTTTCCTCCGACAGAGGCTCCGTTGCAGACTCTTCACATGGACGTGTGGGGCCCCGCCCGCGTCCGTGGCCAGGGGCACGAGCGTTACTTCCTGTTGGTGGTTGACGACTACTCGCGTTACACCACGGTCTTCCCCTTGCACAGCAAGGGTGAAGTCACTGAGGTGTTGATCGACTGGATCCGCGCAGCTCATCTCCAGCTCAGAGAGAGTTTCGGCTCGGACTTTCCTGTTCTGCGTCTACACTCTGACAGAGGCGGGGAGTTTTCCTCTGCCCGTCTGGGAGCCTTCTGTCATGCACAGGGCATCCGCCAGACCTTCACGCTTACGGCCTCTCCACAGCAAAATGGGATTGCTGAGCGCCGCATCGGTATGGTCATGGACGTCGCTCGTACGTCCATGATCCATGCGGCTGCTCCCCATTTTCTGTGGCCGTTTGCGGTTCAGTACGCGGCGCATGAGCTCAACCTTAAGCCCCGGGTCTCCTTGCCAGAGACCTCCCCCACCTTGCGGTGGACGGGGAAGGTTGGCGATGCGTCTGCGTTTCGGGTCTGGGGATCTCGGGCGTTTGTCCGCGACTTGTCTGCGGACAAGCTGTCTCCCCGTGCTGTTCCCTGCGTCTTCCTTGGCTTCCCCCTCGACGCGCCTGGTTGGCAGTTTTACCACCCCACCTCGCGCCGTGTTCTGTCCTCCCAGGACGTCGCCTTTGACGAGTCGGTGCCTTACTACCGTCTCCTCCCCTACTGCGCTGCGCCCCTTCCCCCGCCGCCGCTCTTCCTTGTGCCAGGTCCTCCCCCGGTAGACCCCCTCCCCCCTCAGGGTCCTGCCCCGTCAGGTGTGTCCCAGGTAGACGCAGTCGAGCCTGTCGAGGTAGCTGTTGACTCTGGTGCTGCTAGAGGTGCTGAGCCTGCGGGTGCCGGGTCTCGAGGTGCTGAGTCTGGGGGTGCTGAGCCTGGGGGTGCTGAGCCTGGGGGTGGTGAGCCTGGGGGTGCTGAGTCTGGAGGTGCGGAGCCTGGTGGTGCGAAGCCTGGGGGTGCGGAGCCTGGGGGCGCTGGGTCTGCTTGTGTGACCGCCGGCGGTGCTTCGTCGAGGCGGGAGCCACTCTCTCCGCAGGAGCTGCGCGAGTGGTTTGCCCGGCGTTGGGGCCGTGCTGCTGGAGCTGGAGGCACTACTGTTGCTGCTGGTTCCGGAGGTGCTCGTACTGGCGGTGCTGGAGCTGCTGGGCCTAGGGGTGCTGCTGGGGCTACTGGAGTTGGTCCTACTGGAGCTGCTGGCGGTTCTAGAGCTGCCGGTCCAGCTGGAGTTGGTGCTGCTGGAGCTGCTGGAGCTGGAGCTGCTGGGGGTGTTGGCGCTGGTGGTTCTGCTGGCGCTGGTGCGTCTGAGGGTGCTGGAGTTGGCGCTGTTGGAGCTGGAGGTGCTGCTGACCCTGGAGCTGCCGCTGGGGGTACTCGTGCTGTCCCTGCTGGTTCTGGAGGCGGTGCGCGGCCGCGGCCGTACTTCGTTCCGCTCCTTGAGCAGGTTCTTGGTCTCTCGCCTTCTACTGGTCCTGCTCCTCCCTTAGAGTGTCCACAGCCTGTCCAGTCGCAGTCACAGTTACAGCCCACCTCCCCTCTACCTGCTCCTTCTCCCTACACTGGTCCTACTGGAGGTCTTGCTGAGCGTCGTGAGCCTGCGTCTCGTCCTGCGTCGCCTGTTCGTGCTGCTTGCACTAGTAGTCGTGCTCCGCGTCCGCGTCCTCCTGCGGTCACAGGCACACACCAGATGGAACTGCGTCCTTCCACTACTCCTCTGCGTGTCCCATTGCCGTCTTCTCCAGAGTCCTCTCTTCCTGTTCTTGCTGACCCGGAGTCTGACTCTCTTGGTGCTGCCAGTCCTACTGTCACGCGTCTCCTGGCCACTGTTGTCACTGACCCTTCCTTTGAGTCTGCTGCGTCTGTTTTAGTTGCTGAGCTTGTCGACTTTGCTGCTCGCTGTCGTCTAGACTACGCCACTAGTCTCGTTGCTGAGTCTGAGTCTGTCTGTCCTCCGTCCGTCGGGGGTGAGTGTGCTCTTAGCACGGACGTCCTTGAGGACAGGCAGGAGGAGTTCCAGTGTTTTGCTGGTGCTTTGCCTCATCTCGTGTCCACGCTGATTGCCCCTAAAGGGAGACCCGGATGCACCAGACATCCCGACTCCTCGATCGTTCGCTGAGGCGATCGAGGGTCCCTACTCCTCTCAGTGGGAGTCAGCCATGGACGCAGAGATGGCTTCCTGGAAGTCCACAGGCACCACGTCAACGAGGTTCCCCCACCTGGGGCGAACATCGTCAGTGGCATGTGGATTTTCAGGGTGAAGCGGCCGCCGGGTTCTCCGCCTATCTTCAAGGCGCGTTAGGTGGCTCGAGGCTTCAGTCAGCGGCAGGGAGTTGACTACTTTCAGACCTTCTCTCCCACCCCGAAGATGACCACTCTTCGGGTGCTGCTGCACATAGCCGCTCAGCGCGACTACGAGCTTCACTCTCTTGACTTCAGCACAGCTTTCCTGCAGGGCAGTCTGCACGAGGAGATCTGGCTGCGCCGCCCACCTGGCTTCACTGGGTCGTTTCCTCCTGGTACTCAGTGGAGCCTCAGGCGGCCAGTCTACGGTCTCCGCCAGGCACCCCGTGAGTGGCACGACACACTGAGGACCACACTTGCGGCTCTTGGGTTTGCTCCTTCTACAGCCGACCCGTCGCTGTTTCTGCGCACCGACACCTCTTTGCCGCCGTTCTACATCCTTGTGTACCTCGACGACTTGAACTTTGCCACTGCTGACACTGCTGGACTCGCCCACGTGAAGTCCGAGCTGCAGAAGAGACACACGTGCACAGACCTGGGTGAACTGCGCAGCTACCTTGGCTTGCAGATCACCCGGGACAGAGCACAGCGCACCATTACCCTGACCCAGTCACACATGGTGCAGCAGGTCCTTCAGCGGCTGACTGTTATGTGATGCTATCATTTGCATTCACGTCTGTCTGCCTCCCATCATGTGTTCGTGCGTTGCATGTGTGAAATGAGCGTGCGCAAGAATTTGTGTTCTCCGTGGTTTGGATTTTCTGAGTGTGTGTGAATGTTATTTGGCTTGAGCAGATATCTGAAGTGACTCCACTGCTCAAGAGCTTTCCGACGAACCAAGAATCACTTCAATCGGAGCACGAACAAGAAAGTTACGAACGTTGGAGTTCGTATGCTTTTGATATTTGGTTGTGGTGACCATGGAGAGTTGTGGGGTTGACTCAATATGGGGTACAGACTTTTGGGGGTTGGGAATTCGAACCCATCACTGTAGAATGCTGCCATGTGGTTGGGTGAAGCCAAACCAGGTTGGCAAGTGTGGCCAAATGGGTTGAGGTGGATGGCATGAGTTGGGAAAGTGACAAATGTGAAAGTGGGGTTGCCTATGGGGGAAGGGAATTGTGTGGCATGGGGTTTCCTAGGTTGGGGAATCTCTTGGGACCTTCCCTCTCGTCCTCCTCTTCCCTCCTACCTGGTTTAGTGCTACTCAAACTCTCTTGTGTGTAACTTTGTGGAACTTGTGAGAACCATTGTGAGTGAATTAAGTTTCTATGTGGCAGCATACCCCCTGGTGCGCCGAGAAGCAAAACTCGAGATTTACTCCACCTTTCGATACGATTCAAATTGGGAATGATAGCCACAGACAATGGCTACAACATACTCGAGTTTGAGACGATTCTAACGGTGCACTTTTTGTCGACAACGTTTCTTGTGAAGTCGCAGTTTCTGTCCAGAATTTCAAGCCAACGATTTTGAGAAATTTAGGCTCCTAATCTTCATAGACTCAGTCTTTAGTCTCTAACAAGTGGTATCAGAGCTGATTAAGGACCTTGTGGGGAGTCTACTGAAGTGTGAAGACCCTCCTAGACCCACCATGGCCTGTGGGCGTGCCTAAGTGGAGTTCTGGAGGTTGGATGTGACTTCCGCTAAGGGGAAACTCTGCCGAAATTTCGTTGGCACCGTCACTTGTGAAAATATTGTGGATCTACATTGTGACCAGCAAAAGGGGGAGCTGAAACCTCTGATTGGGAGCAGAGGAGATGAGTGGAGAAGCAGCTGAGAAGAAGAGTGAACCGCCACCGTCCAAGATCGAGGCTTTGGACGGCTCCAACTACGAGGAATGGAGCGGGCGGATGCGGAGCGCTTTCAAGCGCTACAAGCTGCTGAAACTTGCGATGGGAGAAGAGAAGATGCCGGAGGAAGGTGATGCCCGCGACAAATGGATTGAGAAGAGCGCGGTGCTGTACGACCTAATCCTTCAATCGGTCAACAATGATATGTTCCAGCATATCAAGGACCTAGTGGAGCTGGACGACTCCGGGCCTAAGGCGTGGAAGCTGCTACGCGATGTGGTACAACCCAACACGCTGCCGATGGTGATCGTAATGGAGAAGGAGCTGGCTGCTCTCTCCATGAAGGCGGGAGACGATGTGAAACCGGTCCTTGACAAGATCAAGGACATCTATGCGAGGATGGCAGCGGCGGGCAGCAAGGTGTCGGAGATGCAGCAGTGCACCAAGATCATCTCGGTGCTCGACAACTCGTGGGACAACCTCATCCCCACCCTCAACGTTCAGCAGGACAAGTGGTCGCCTGAGTGGCTACGGCAGCAGATCCTGCAGGAGGACTTCCGCAGGCGCCACATGGGAGGTGGTGCTGCCAACAAAACTGCTGAGGGGTATGGAGCTGCAGGAGGCAGCAGAGGAAGAGGGGGAGGGAGAGGCCGAGGCCGTGGGAGAGGCTTTGGCAGAGGAAGAGGCCGAGGTGACTACAACGAGGGGCATGGGAGCTCTGGTGGCAAGGGGAGTACCCGAATGGAGGGTGCGTGCTGGTACTGCAAGAAGGCTGGACACCCATGGTTCAAGTGTTTCAGCCGGCCTGAAGGATGGGCGCCTCCAGGCATGAAGCCGCCAAGTGGTGAACGTGCACGAGGTGGTGCTGTGCAAGGTTCAGGTGCACAAGGTGATGGTGCACAAGGTAAAGCCGACCCTTGTATGTTCCTCATGGTTGAGGACGTGCAAGGGAGTGGGGGTGATGTGGGTTCAGTTGGGAAGGTTGTGATGCACCCCCTCACTCACTGGGTGATCGATTCAGGTTGCACAAGTCACATGACTCCACGGGCAGATTTGCTTGATGAGGTGAAGCCCCCTGGGAAGATAAAGTTTGTGGCTGCCGCTTCAGGTGCCTTGCTCCCTGTGATTGGTGTTGGGAATGCCAAGGTTATGGGAGCTAATGGGGGGCTTGTGGGGCTGGGAAATGTGCTGTTGGTTGAAGGTTTATCCGCTAACCTCCTCTCTGTGCGCCGGCTGCAGAAAAGCAAGGCCAAAGTTACGTTCGGCCCAACCAGCTGCCGTGCAAAGCTTGGGAAGTTTCTGCTGTGGGATTTGGAGGAGAAGAGCAGCTGCATCAAGGACCTGTGGCAGCTGCCCATCATCCCTTGGAATGGGAAACCTCCAGCAACGGCAAAGGCAGCGGCAGCGGCTAAAGCAACTGCGGGAGGAGAGGAGACTGCACCAACTGCTGGGGCCCTGGATGCAGTCAAGAAGGTGCAGCAGCCACAGCAATCACATGGTGAGGTGCTTGCTGGTGTGGATGCAACGGCTGCATGGGCAAAGGCTTCCTCTGGGAGTGGTGAGGCCGATTGGGAGACGTGGCACGAGAGGTTGTGCCACATCAACATTCCGATGCTGCAGAAATTGGTGAAGGATGGGAACCTGAAGGGATTGGAGGTGAAGGGGGCAGCAAGGGAGATTGGGAGCTGCTCTACATGCCTTGAGACCAAGTTCACGAAGTTTCCCTTCAGCAGCAGCACGGGACCAGCGAAGGCTCCACTTGCACTTGTGCACATGGACGTGGTGGGCCCCACGAGGGCCCCTTCTCTCTCGGGCAGCCGCTATTTCCTAACCATTGTGGATGACCACACACGTGCGGTGTGGGTCTACCCTCTCAAGACTAAGGGGGAGGTGGCAGCGGCTGTTCTCAAGGAGTGGATGCCGAGAGCACAAAGGGAGAGCGGACACAAAGTGAAGGTGATCCGCACCGACAATGGGGGAGAGTTCATTGGCGCTGTTTTTGAGGCGGTGCTGAAGAAGAAGGGGATCCAGCATCAACTCACGGTGCCCTACAACCCTCAGCAGAACGGCGTGGCTGAGCGGTTCAACCGGACCCTGCAGGAAGGTGCTCGCACTCTCCTTGGGCGTGCAGGGCTGCCGGATCCGTTTTGGGTGACTGCACTACGGCAGGTCGTTGTGGTGAAGAACAGGGTGCTCGCAACTGTGGGGGACAAGCAGTGGGTGCCTTACACCAAGTGGTATGGGAGTGCACCAGCAGTCAACATGCTGAGAGCCTACGGCTGCATGGTGGTGTTTCATGTGCCGAAGGAGAAGAGGGGAAAGTTGGAAGCTTCTGGAAGATGGGGTGTGCACTTGGGACTTGCGAAGGACCACAAGGGCTGGCTCATATGGGACTTGACCAGCCAGCAGCTGACTGTGTCGAGGGATGTGAAGTTCCTTGAGTCCTTGTACTACAAGGAGTGGAAGCAGCAGCAGCAGAAGCTTCCTACTACACCGCTGATCATTGAGGCTGATGAGGTGCAGCGGCCTTCGAGGCAAGTGGAGGTTGCCATCTCAGAGGAGGAGATCTCTGGGGTGACTGAGGATGGGGGAGAACTCGAGGTGGTGGAGCAGCAGCAGCAGCAGCAGCAGCAGCAGCAGCCGCAGCAGCAGCAGCAAGATGCTCCACGAGGTGCCGCACGTACGGCTGACCGTCCTAAGAGGGATGTGCGCCCTCCTAACCGGCTGACCTATCCGAGCTTTGGGAAGCCGAAGGTGGTACGGGCTGGGAGTGTGGCTGAGCAGTGTGATGAGGAGGAGATAGCGCACTGCTACTGGGCAGCCGTCCCTGAGCCCAAAACGCTAGCTGAGGCATTGAGCGGGCCCGATGCTGAAAAGTGGAAGCAGAGTGTGAAGGAGGAGTATGATTCTCTGCTAGAGAATGAGACGTGGGAGCTGTGTGAGCTGCCACCCGGGAAGAAGGCCATTTCTTCCAAGCTGATTTTTAGGCACAAGTACGGACCTGATGGGGCGCTGACCCGCTACAAGTCAAGGCTTGTGGCTAAGGGGTTTCAGCAGACAAAGGGAAAGGACTTCAACGAGCTCTATGCTCCTGTGGGGAAAGGCACAACACTTCGGGTGTCATTGGCAATGGCAGCAAACCGTGGATGGCAGGTGAAGCAGATGGACATCACCACCGCCTTCCTCAATGGGATCATTCTGGAGGAGCTGTACATGTTACAGCCTGAGGGTTTGGATGATGGGAGCGGCAGGGTGTGCAGGCTGAAGAAGGCCATCTATGGCCTGAAGCAGGCTCCTCGTGCATGGTACCACAAGTTAGAGGAGACTCTGCTGGCTGGGGGTTTCAAGAAGAGTGAGTGTGATCACAGCTTGTTCCTGCTGCAGGAGAAGGAGCAGTTTCTCATGCTCCTGGTGTATGTGGACGACATCCTGCTCTTCTCTGATTCGTCTGCAATGATTGAGCATGTGGAGGAGATGCTGGAGATGCAGTTCAAGTGCTCCAAGATGGGAGATGTGAAGTACTATTTAGGGATGCATGTGGAGAGGGACCTTGACAAGGGAGTGTTGAGGTTGCACCAGAGAAAGTATTGTGAGGGGCTGGCTGAGAAGTATGGGCTGCAAGATGGAGGAAAGCCAGCCACCCCACTGCCTTCGGGGTTCACTGTGGAGCCCTGTGCTGATGAGGAGGTGGTGGGTGAGAGTGACAGGAAACTTTTTCATTCCATGGTTGGGGCACTCAACTATGCGGCTAACCACACACGGCCTGACATTGCCTTTGCAACATCCAGGCTTGCCAGTGTGGTTTCACGCCCCAGTCATGAGCAGCTGGAAGCGGCCAAGAGGTTGGTCCGCTATGTGAGTG